CACAGTTTTCTTGTGAGTTTGTGAGTCGTATTTTTTTTTTATGGTATTTGATCTTCAGTGGATGTTAGGTTTACAGTCTCATACAATGATGCCCATAAGAGGTAAGGATACTTCTTATTCATGAATTATGTGACGTTAATTATGAGTCAAGAATGAGTTGGTGATGATTATAATGACGCTTGAGATAAGAGTTGAAGAATATTCGTTCCAATGACAACAAGGAAATTAAATGAGAAAATCTTATAAGGTTAAAAAAAATCCGTAAACTATTTTAAAGATTTTCAAGATTTATATTGAGTTGTTCACTGTTACCTAGAATTCGTCATCTTTTTTCCCTATTGTAGAAGTAAATCCCTTTGTATGTAAGATCAATGATTTACGTTTTATGGCTCGTGGATGTTAACCTAACCTAACCTAGCTTCTACTATATCATTATCTAAAAATAAACAATAAATATAATAATCTTCTAATATATATTTTTTCTCCATATGGATAAAAAAAGAACAGAAATGAAACCCTGATTTAACTCCTGACATAATGTAAACACAACCCGAATACAAGCGAGGTTTTATTTCCAGTTTACACAACAATGAAACAACACGTTGCCACCATCATGACGATTTTATTGGCTTTAAAATTCATCCTGATAATAATGTTATTTTGATTGTATGTTGATTATTTTCGACTATATAAAGAATATATGTTTATTTCCCGCAGCCCCCCTACAGCGTAAATCTATTCGTAACCTTACATTAACGACGAGAATTCTGGATATTCGTGTCAGATGGTCGACCTAAATATACACATAGAACCATGTAGCTCTGAGGCGAGTCAAAACGCTACTCCCTAACTGGTTTCTGTGTGTGTGTGTGTGTGTGTGTGTGTGTGTGTGTCCTACTCCGTCTTAGGGTCAAAATCATTATGGTTGTTATTATTTTTTTTTTTTCAATTTTCTTTAGATGCCATGATACGGTGTGTGTTGGGTGGGAGGGGGAGTGAAGGGTGTAATGGGTGGGGTGATGAAGGGTTATGGGAGAACAAGGGATAAAGGTAGGATTTTTAAGGTTATGTATAATAATAATAATAATAATAATAATAATAAATGACATGTTTACAGGAATACTAAGTTGAAAATCACCCCAAGTTTTCCAGAAATTTTACGTGTAGAATTTGACCTCATCTCAGTGTTTGTATACAATCACTAAGAGATAACCTAACCTAACCTGTAAGCTTAAAGTCAGAGAAATTATTCTACTCATAAATATCTTAACCTCGATATTATGAAAGGAAAAGTAAGATTATGATAAGCTGAGGAAGAGAGTGGTTGTTGACGTGTGCCTGCTTGGGGTACTCGGTGTAGCTCAGGCGAGTGAACGGATCCGGGACGTCAGGGAAGAAATCTCTCCAGAGGGTCAGTCAATCAATCACTCTGGAGAGGCATTTAGGGAGCTGTCTAGAGTAGGTAACAAAAAATGACGATAACCTTTTTGATTTCTGATGAGGAAGTGTCTAGGAAACTCTGCGGTAGAATTAGTAAGTCAGTTCTCAGTTCTCGTGATGATACTAAAAACGAAACCTTTTACTTCTGAACCGCTGATCAGTCTTGGCCAACCACAATAGGTTGTTTTCGTTTGAATTTTTACGTGACTAGATTGTGAGATTCAGAGCAATGAGTGTGTTCGTGTTTGGTAATTTACCGCATCGATAAACAGACAACAAACACAAAATATCCAAACACCAGATCAATATAGCTCTCATTTTTTACGACCCCAAAATAGTCTGTTTTATAATCTAGTTCAGTATCTCAACCACGGCCTGAACGTGAAGGATTACAGCAACACGTTTGCAATAATACGTCTGCAACCTGCATGATTCGAACTGGTAGGAAAAATGCTAAACATTAGAGCCCACAAACATTATTGTTCACGGTTGTTGCATGAACCCGCGCCCTGGATTACCAAATGTTTACAACTGAGGCAAAAATTAGGATTTCTTTTGATGTCATTCTTGTTCTGTTTCGTCTGTCTTTTTTGATTCTTCCTCTATTCTTTCATTATCTTTCTTTCTCACTTCCTCCCATACTTAGTAAATCTGTTTCTCTTTATTCTGTTTCTAATACTCTCTTTCTCTCAGTTTCTCTTTCTCTCTGTGCGTCTGTCTAGCTATGTGTGTTAGTGTCTTCCTGACGTCAAGGAACAAGGGAACGAGACGCTCCTCCATAGTGGTGAGAGAGAGCGAACGCAGCGTCACTAAAACTATATAAACATTGAACTTCTTTGTCAATGTTCAGTTTGATGTTTTGGCTTTACGTCACACTCTAGAATTACACACAAAATGTATCCAAAACTTATAGGTAGCGAATAACTAATGTTAGGAAAGTGATTAAAGTTACTCTAAGGTCATTAACAGACATAAGTACCAAAATTACAACTTAATGACCCCCCTATCCTTAATCAGGTAGTTAATGAGTACAGGTAATCTAAGAAATAAGTATTTTTTACAGGTTTAGTAGAGTAATATTGAGACCTTGTGGATTATAATGGAGGTGTAACCCTGGTTATATCTGGTCGGCTGGTACGCCTGACTAGAGAGCTACGAGTTGATTTATATTCTCTATCTCACTGACAACCCCCATAGCTTACACAGTACAGAGTCACAAGATGGTCGACTCTTCAGATATGTTTGTGAGTGGCTGTATTGAGTGATAAAATTGTACGGTATATATTGAAGGTTAGTAGACCACCGTAGACTCCAAGGTGTTTAAATAAATCGATTTTTTTTATTACTAACAGTTTTCGTATTGTTTGGTAGGTATTTGAATTATTAAACGTTAGAAATTGTAATGAAGGAAGAGCAATACCGTTAGACATCCTAGCTAACATAGCTAAACTGATGGCCGGTCCAGCAACTCGGCCAATGGAATTTATAAATACGAGCTATAACGGCTTTGGTATGTAAACACAGAAGCCACCAGGTCAAGGATATCACAAGAGTAAATCATAATGACCCGGGCGGTTACACACAAATACATACATTCACAGTGGTAATGATATATAAAGAACTGAATAAATATGAAATGACATATAAACAAAACACTGGAATCCCACAGTAGGAGGAAATAAAGCACAGAAACACCAGAGCATTGTATATTTCGACCGTATTATGCGGCCCTGTTCACCAGTGTTTACAGAGAATTTATAAGTTACCAATCCATTCCCCTAGATGTTTTTCGTTTTCTCTGATACACAACCAAAGAAAACGGATTTATATACCATCAATGACGACTAGGGATGACTCAAGAAACACGCTGCAGGTTTACTCCCATAAAGATTCTTAATGTTAGGGGTCCTGGATGATAAATATAATAACTGTGTGATAAGTATTCCATAACACTTAAATTAGATGAGATGAAATGGAAATTTTAAAAATAAAAATTAAATGAATATGAAGAAAACAATTGATTTTCTATTAATATCTTATCAACTGTGTTTTGCTCGATGAGAAAAAAAATTGGACACATGTTAAGGAGTGAGAATGTTACGGTAACTTTCTTACATACAATGAGACACACTGAGAAACAACTAATACGTAAGTTACCTGAGATAATTAAGTATCACACACACACACACACACAAAAAAACACCCCTTCCCCACACACAAACAAAGCACTCCGCCCCCAAACAAAACACCCCCCCCCCTTACACACAACAAATGGTTGGGGGGGGGGGGACCTTCTCGCTCAATAAACGGCACATTCTTGAAGCCACACGGTAGCATGACACGCGCCCTTGAAACAACACCGTACAGAGGGTGGTATTATGAGCCACCGTTAATAAATATCTCAAACATTACAACCTTTATCTGATAATATTAACGCCAAAAGTCATCATTGCATACAAAGGCTTTAAAGTCATTTGTAGTTAAAACGCTGTATTAATTTCTTTATAATATTCATTGGCATAAATTCCTATCTCAAAAACGTAAACATAACATCATTAGGTTGACGTACAAAACTGCTGTCTAAACTACTGTCTATATTAATTTTAGACAGATGATTAATGTCTTAGTTAATCTTTAGACAGAGAAAATCCAGTTTAGTAATATTCGTTTTAGTAGATCACAAACACCTGTGACTGTATCAGAGAAAAGAATCCCTCACTCACACCTGTACTAATTAACTCCTGCTATGCCCCTCACCTGCATGGCACACCCTTAGCTAACCCACAATTGCTGTCACGCACCTGGAGTTCGTTCCTCTTTGGGGCAAAAGATTATTAACGTTAGTCGATTTGTCGGTGTCTTTTGTACTCATGAAACTCTGAAGATTAAAAAAAAGACACGTTCTACAAATTGACAGGTCCTACAAATTGACTGGTCCTACAAATTGACAGGCCTTGCAACTTGACAGGTCCTACAAATTGACAGGTCATGCAAATTGACAGGTCCTAATACCGTCAGCAAGGGACAATTTATTCTTAGATCCAATTAAATCTTATTGACTTTTAAAGGGCAAAATATTAGAAACTCTGGACACCTGTAGCCTATTATAACAGTATTGGTTTAAGAGTTTAGAATCGTCACACAAATTCGAGTCGCACATGGCATTGGTTTTTTTTCCATTTATCTGTTTAACAAGAGTAATAATAATAATAATAATGATAATGATAATGATAATAATAATAATAATAATAATAATAATAATAATAATAATAATAATAATAATAATAATAATAATAATAATAATGATGATGATGATGATGATGATGATAATAATAATAGCAGTTAAATAGTAATGTAGAATAATAATAATTTGTTTTATTTATTACTTATTTGTCTGGGTTTTTTTATTTATCTTTTTCATTTCTCTATCTTCTATTTATTTTCTCTTTTAGTGTTTTTTCGCCATTTTATCTCTCGTCTTTTGATAATAAATAGATGTACACCATAACCTAACCTAACCTAACCTAACCTAACCTAACCTCACTCGTTGTTGTTGGCAGCACAGGTCCTGATGACGGCCGAAGCATCACACCTCAAGTCCGGCCTCTCTTGAAGGTTCCTAATAGGACATGAAGGAGTCGAACAGTGGGTGTTGGCTGCGTCGGTTCTGTGGTTCCTGACGGGGAATGAAGGAGGCGGCTCCTAGGTGTTGGAAACGCCCGGTCTGTTTCCTTGGGGTGGCGCCCTTCTATGTTAAACCACCGAAATTCATTGGCGGTGAGTACTCATTCTGGTGTTTTTCCAAATTGCTGTGTTAAGTTCTTCATTAGTTGCTGTGTTAAGTTCTTCATTAGTTGCTGTGTTAAGTTCTTCATTAGTTGCTGTGTTAAGTTCTTCATTAGTTGCTGTGTTAAGTTCTTCACTAGTTGCTGTTCTCTGTTAATCATCTTTATTGAGATCTCTGCACCTGTTTCACGATGTCAACAGAACCTTCTGCATGATTTTAATATGACGTAGTAGGCAGTGGCCAGCTATCAAACAGGGAGGTACTACCGCCTGGGAAGATATTGGAAGCATATTGTGTTGTCCAATGGTAGCCCCTGCCATATATGACCAGGTTGCTGATCTGACTTTCTGCCTCATTTACACACAATTGCAGGGTCTCAATTGTTTCTCTTACTTTGACAACACAACATACATATATTGTTTCTCATTATTGATCTTATTATTATTATTATTATTATTATTATTATTATTATTATCATTATTATTATTATTATTATTATTATTATTATTATTATTATTATTATATTTTCGCCTCCAGTCCCTGATGTGGGTCATTGATCTGTGCCCTGGTTACTAATCCCAACAACAACACTACACTACACTTTTTCCTTTCTGATTCTTTTTCTCTCGTCGTTTGTGTATGTTTTGTATAATGGTTTATTAGCCATAGAACAAACTGTCTGTATGCTGATGACTATGGCTTCATGTGCTGCTGGTAATGTAAGATAAAGACAACACAAAAAATATAACGTGAAGGTAAGTGATAGAAGATGGCGTCTCGGTGACCAACGCTCGTGAGTATCTGCCCTAGTGTTCAATAACCTACATTATGATAGCATTTACATACAACACATGCCAAGTCACCTTATCAACTAGTACTCGAATAACTTTTACCGACTCTTTCTCTGATAACGTTGTGGATTTTAGGAAACCTTCAAACACAAGTCTTACTCTCTGTGTCGCCTCAAGGTTCCCAGCATCGACAAATACCAAGACAATCCCAAGTTTCGTAAAGAATGAGGTCAAAGGGTCATTTATCCTCGGTATTTTCTTTTCCTTGGGTCATCCCGAGAGTAAGGGGACATGATCATCTCTGGGGAGGATTATGGTAGTCCCCCCCCCTGGAGTCGTCTGCATGACCTGGGCCTTCGTCATGCACCTCCTGCCTTTTGTCTTCACCTGCCGCCCCTCTCACCTCAGCCACCACTCCTCTCCCTCACCCACCACTCCTCTCCCTCACCCACCACCCCTCTCCCTCACCCACCACCCCTCTCTCCTCACCCACACCCCTCCCTCACCCCACCCACCCCTCTCCTCACCCCACCCCTCTCCCCACCACCACCCTCTCCCTCACCCACCACCCCTCTCCCTCACACACCAGAATTATGTTGGTGTGTTTGGCTCACATATGTCTTGTTTCTCTGTGTTTTGTTGTTGTTTTTTCATGTTCGTCTTTTCTTTCGTGGTGTAATAGACAGTTACCAAGGACAGGCAGGCAGTAGGGACATTCACCTGAGCGATGTGGATTTCAAAAACTTAACATTACCGACGGGACAAGAACCTAACCTAACCTAACCTAACCTAAACCCAACCTAACCTAACCTAAACCCAACCTAACCTTCTCTACTAATTATTATTATTTTTTTTTTTATCTTGTTATTTTAGTTACGTTCCTGAATTAAATTTTTGTGTTTTTGGTAAGAAAGAAAAAATTCGTGGATATATTTAAATGGAATGAGGTGTGTGTGTGTGTGTGTGTGTGTGTGTGTGTGTGTGTGTGTGTGTGTGTGTGTGTGTTCTCATTCCTATCACTTTCTACACTTACATCACACATCCCTATCACTTCATATACGCTTTTAAACATTCCTATTTCCCTTGATTCACTCCACACAACAATAAAACAGAAAAAAAAACACAGATACCAAACAGAGAAACACATAAGGACGATTTTTTTTTCCTACGAATTCCTCTAATCACAGAACTTCCCCCGTTCATCAGTACTCGTGACAACAAACAGTCAATCATGTCACCAGCCCCACCTCTTCGTCAGCAGATTAACCAAACAAACATTACTTAAAGTTTATCCTTAATTCAGTATGAGGTGGCTGTTTATCTGACTCTCACGCCACTCATGGAGGAATTTTCTCAGATAAACACAAGATTAACATTATTAAGATATGTTTAATTTGTCTAATTTTTCTTGACCAATTAGTGTTGGGACGGTGATGAAGAGAAAGGTCACCTGATATTAGTTTAAAACGTCTGGGGGGTAATTGAGTCATTATTATCTATTCAAATTGTCTGTAACCTAGTTCGTATTATGGGGTTATATATATTCTTTCCTTCCTTCCTTAATACCAATGTAAAATATCACCGGTTTATAACAAGGATCTAAGGTGGAACTGTCATGGTTGTAAATATACGATAATTCTCGTTTTGATGATTATTGATGATTGTGTTTTATTTATTGTGATTAAGGTTTTAGTTATTAAGTAAATGAAAATATATATAAAATATGTTGGGAGGGAATATTTTCGTTCTGGTCATGTGGAGGTGTAGGTGAGGAGAATGATGGTGATGAGTCGAACAAGGTCTCCTGGGGCAGTTGAGGGTCGTTAGGTCACTCACTATCATTCACCATCAATACTATACACTATTTTATTGTCAGTTTCATTATTTGTCTCTGTATTCATTTTTTACTTCAGTCTAATTGAATTTTTCTGAATATGAAGATCCGAGTACACATTGGCTCACTAGTTTCATGTACAGGTGTTCACAACAACCTCAGGTGATCTGTGTCTCTTTCATAAACACAAAAGAATCTTCAGTGGATGTGAATGAGAGAGACTGGCAGCGTGTTAGACTTTGTTGTTGTTGATCTGGTGTGCTGGGTGTAATGTGTTGTGATCAGCGAGTTATTTCTGTTTTCCTGGTGTGTTATATGCAGCGCTGACCGACCTCCGTAGATCAACACCCACACGAGCGATATTGGTCAGGAGGAATGTTTGTCATGTTGATCATAACGATAACAGATAAATGATTTCCTCTGGTGGTGTTAAGTCGAACACGGCGTTAGTATCGACGTATTGTGTGTGTGCCATCAACGACAGTAATGCCTTACCTCTGCTCTGGACTGTGATCGTAATTCAGTTTTCCATTCAGCACGCAGCAGGAGGTGGACCAATGTCGTCACCATCACCAAAATATATAAAAAAAGTGTCCACACTCGACAGTTCATTGGAGGATGAACCCAGGCGGCTGTGTCGAGAAGCAGATGGCGGTGTTTCCCTTAGTGCTCGCCAGGATGGAGATCACACGAAGAAACTTTAACAAGTGGAAACTTCAGTGATTAAATATGACCCAGTGGGAGGCAGTCAATTATTTACATCTGTCTTGTTAAAGAAGATGAATAAAGCTGATCATTTTTGTTTTTTGTTTAGCAAATTGTGACTTATCACAACTCATATTTCAGACTAATAATTATACTAAGCCTTCTTATACCTGTGTGATGAGAAGCCATCGGGACGGCGACCTCCTCGTCGACACACCACAGCTTAAACAACACAAAAAGAGAAAAAATCCATGAAGAAAGAAAACAGGAAGACAGTGAGGCGTGACGGGACGCGTGAACAGCGGGGTAATAGTTGGCATTCTGCAGCCACGTGAGTCACTCGTCCCCACCCACCGACCCGTGAGGCTTTACTGACTGCCGTGTTAACCAAACCTTTTACTCTTACCCACCGACTTGTGAGGCCTCAGCTGGGTTCTCCTCACACCCACTCTCCCACACACGTCTGCAGGGACCCGTGAGGCCGTCTAGATCAGCATCACCTCGTGTTCCAGGTATAGCGCCTCGAACACTCTGATTACACAGGATATGGCGTATGGCAGAGCTTGATGTCTTATATGTACCGACTGTTATGTTTGTTTGCCCACTGAATAATGTATGACGTGGTTGAGTGTCGTGCATTGACACAAACCTACGTGGTGTATGATGTATGACGGCTACCATTGTTATACATAGCATTACTTGTCTATCTGGTGTGCGATGAATGTTATACACGTGATATTATTTAGTGTAGAGAGTGTATGTGGAGCCAGGTGTTGAGATTAGGGGCTCTGACGTGATGAGTGATCTGGATGAGTGACTAACATGAAGAAAAATGAGTAACATAAACAACGTGTCGAGAGGATGAATATGACGTGGGTGAGTATGAGATGAGAAAGTGAGTAAGTGGGAGAGAGAATAAAGGGAGATGAAGGGATTAAGAGTGAAATGGAAGGAGAAAGAGAGAGAGAATAAGGTTCAGATGGGGAGGGTGGGGGGATGAGTAGCCTACCTGAGTAACGCGCGGATATAATACCATTTAAGCGGATTACACATTACTTATTTTCCAATACAGTAAAATTCGGTTAATTTGATACGTGAAATTAGGCTTACAATTGATCATTCGTCTATATGATGATTAATTCCCCACCAAACACAACAAAATGGTGTATCTTTCTATTTCATTAAGAATTATAACATAAATTATCATTCTAATCTGGATAATCAACGATGGGGTTTAATAATTCGTCTGGACAGGTGCCTAGAATCATTACTAATTATACCGTAATCAAGCAGGAGCCATTTCTTGAGTTCACCTGACACTGATGTACCCGTCTGTCGTGCTACTGAGTCGACAGGTAACGAGGGCTCTGCTTGGCCGACCAGTCATGACCCGCGACGCAACCTGAGCAATGTAAGTTACGCCACCACAACAGTCATTTACACACACTCACACACACACACACACACACACACACACACACACACACACACATATATTTACATTTGCTGTTGTGTGTGTGTGTGTGTGTGTATGTGTGTGTGTGTTATGTGTGTTTATACATATATACCAACTGTGTACACATACATAATTTAAGAAGTGTGTGTGTGTACATCTAGGTGTGTGCGGAGAGTGGGTTGTGTACGTCTCGGGTTAGTTATG